ATCTAGATTCGAAGAGATTTATAAAAATCTCTTATACCCCATTCAAGGCAGACATGGTAATAAGACATAAGGGGTTACCGAGTGAGAAAAAAATTAGGAAGTGAAACATTAATAATGAACGAAAAGAGAAAAGAGTAATCAGGAGGACAGTAGATAGCGATTGACATTGCATTGAAATTTCTATAGATTAAGGTTGGCTGGGAAGCAAGGAACCAGAAAGGAGATCCAAAAGCAAAAAATGAGAGAAGCTTTGAATTTACGGTTATATCTAGCCCGCTCAACTGTAAATTGTTTTGATCTCGCTAGTTTAGTATTGCGCTTAAATTCAAAGAGTCTAGGTATCATAGCTCAAAGCGCATCCGAACAATATATATATATATATATATATATATATATATATATATATATATATATATATATATATATATATATATATATATTTTTTGGGAAAAGACCAGAGAGGAAACGTTACAGCGGTGGGAAAGGGACTGAAGCCGAACGACCAGATGAGGACCGATAATGTTGCTGATACTTCTTTGGATTCTATGAGGATCTCAAGGTAAATAGCAGTGGCGTAGGACAATATGTGGCAGTAATATTCTAACCATGGACAAATGGTAGACTTACAGATATGTAGGAGAAAAGAGTTATCGCACACGACACAATAAACCAAATATCTTAGCAGTTGATCTAGCAATGGATTCAATAATCTTTTCACTTTATATCAGTTGAGAACGTTAGACCGGAAGGCATAACAAGTCACTTTCCTGGAGGGTTGAATCTGGTGGGAGTCAAAGAGGGGGTCTTTCAGAGAACCGTTTAGTTATAAGGGCGTTAAAGTTAACAAACCATCATTTGCCCCAGTTAACAATAATCTTGAGATAGTTTTGGTCATTATCTGCAATATTGAACTGTTTGAATTGATCAGCCTTACTATCGAGGTACGAGTAAATAGTTTTGTGATTCATTAATGTACGATGCGAGTTACGAAAAAAAGCCAATATCGAACACACACTCGAGTGTCGTCCTTTATAACTTCGTCTGTAGAATTTCCTTCACAGCCAGCCTGAAATATTCAGACTCGTATGACAAGAGACTTTCCTCTTTTCGTGACGACAATAACTGTGATATACTCCGCCTTTTCCTACCGGAAATACGTCATATTTTTTGTCTCATAGTGTTACCAAAAGAGACACTCAGTTTACAGAATGTGATTGTCGTATTAATATGAGACGGGGAGGTGACAAGTGCTGATTAAGATAATATATAGAAAAGATAACAGCGTGATTAAAATTATAATGATCTCATGGGAATCTGTTCCAGAAAGATGCAATCCGAATGGATCTTCCTCCAGTATCTGTCTATATTTCTGAGATGATGTATTATGTACACTATTTACATTATTCGGACTATTGTCCTCATCTTTGTCACCATATTTATTACAACGTTTCAGCCCTCCAGTGTCTGTCTATATTTTTGAGATGAGGTATTATGTACACTATTTACATTATTTGGACTACTGTCCTCATCTTTGTCGCTATATTATTACACTGTTTCGGTCGTTGTACGCTCCAGCCTTCTTCAGGTGGTTGGAGCGAAATAAAGCGTTCAGTTCGACATTCCAACCACCTGAAGAAGACCGGAGCGTACAGGGGTCAAAACGTTGTAATAAATATGGCGACAATGATGAGGGCAATAGTCCGAATAATGCAAATAATGGATCTTCCTCCATACTAATGCAAAACGAAGGTAAGGGTGTTGATTCGTTCTATCGTACATGGCATGGCGAATTTTACCCGGGGAAAGCCCAACTGCTGGAAAAAATTAATGTATCTCATCTGTACATTTAACTTGTATTGTCTGTTTGCTGATGATTATTCAATATGCATCCAAACTATTGCTCTTGTTTTGTCATTTTTCTTGCCATGTGTACAAACTCATTTTGCTTTTGTCTTTCAATAAATCTTATAATAATATTTTAGTGATCATTTCCCCGATCTGCGTTGATGCCTTCAAAATTTTCCCTTTTCCATTGATCAGCAATCTATTGCTAATTTTAAATACGAATGTTTTACTAAATCCAATTTTGTCTCGAATTTCCTCATTTGCCACCGTTTTTCTGCATGTTATTCTCAGCATTTGTCTTCAGAACAGTATCTCTGTCTCTTCGAGTTTCTTCTTTACTAGTAATGATATTATCAAGTTATTACTGCTAATGATACATTAATTATAAGTAAATAATTAATGTATCATTAGAGTGAGTAACAAAATGCAAAATTTCGTTGAAAAATAGTAAATCCCATTGGTGCATGTACTCTATATTTCTGTTACATATGACCTGGTTCTTCTGCTCTGAATTTAGCGATTATTAATAAAATAAAAAGAAGAATCTCAATATTATTCATCCTGAATTGGCATCCCGGTTTTAGTCATTTACCACCGACGTAATGTAGCTTCGCCGTTCCTTCTGCATCAATGTTTTCTTGGGAATTGTTCTGATGAGCTTTTTTATTTTGGTACCTAGACATTATGAAATTTAGCATACTACTATCTAGATTGTAGTCAAGGTTTCATTATTTTATAGTTGAAATTGTTAGATGCAACCGTACATCCTATGGTAACTTTATTCGCTAGCACTGTTAGCTTGAGTTACTTTCTTCCGGGGGCTTGATTTCCGGTCAAGTTTCATTTTCAAATATTTAAATACAATATCAAGCGTTAACTTGTGTTTTCTTAATTTCTGTTCATTGTTTTTCGATTCTTAATAATGCATTATTTTCCTCATATTCTCTCACAATCAGTAACCGATTGCGTCTTAGTGGCTTTAATGCCTTGCTTATTGTGTAATGTTTAAAATTTAAAAGCATTGATATTGAAATTAATGGGATTTACGATTTTTCAGCAAAATTCTGCTCTTTGTTGTATTTACAGGATTTTTTTTAAAATAGCATTACCTCTTCTAAATATGTGCAAAATTCATCACAATAATTGACAACAAAATGGAAAAGAAACTACCTTACCGTTGTGGAAATAGCCTGAAGCCAAACTGCTATCTGCAGATTCATTTTGGGAATTTTTCAAGAATCTGTAGATCCATATTAAGAGTATCCAAAGAAGCTAACGATGAGAACAAATTTTAATCCTAATTCCATCATCCTAACAAACCAATCGTTTAATATATCATGACAGGTTTATGAAAAATGAGTTATATCCAAGAATTCTCAAGGTAAATGTTTTTGAATTGACAAAGCTGTCTCCACAACCAACACCAAATGTTGAGCTGCATTGAAGAAAGGTAATTGCGTGCGTGTGCATGGAATCGTCAGATCTTTAGTTATTTACAATTCATATAAACTATCGAAACACTAAATACGTATTTATACTTACAAATGAAGGTAAATAATAAAACAAATTCACAAAATAAGAAAATGCTATAATAATAATCAGCATCAAATAATTAAATAATAATAAATAAATAATAATTAGAAAGTAATAAAAAATAATAAATAATTAATCAATAAATAATAAATTATTAATATGTAAATAATAAATAGTAATAAATAAAAATAAGAAAATAATTAAGTAATAAATAACAAATAATTAGTAATTAATAATTACTTAAAATATTTAAAGTAATAAAATAGATAATTAAGTAATAAATATTAATAATAAAGTAATGAAGAAAAATAATTAATTAAAAAATTAAGTAATAAAATATAAATAATAAATAATTACGTAAGAAATAATAAATAATTAGTAATTAATAATCATTAAAATATTAAAATAATAAATAATAAACAATTAAGTAATAAATAAATAATAAGTAATAAATAAAAAATAATTAATTAACTTATAATAATTGATTAAATAATAAAATACATAATAAATAATTAAGTAATGAATAATAAAAATAAGTAATAAATTAAGTTATAAATAATAAATAATTGACTAATAATAAATAAATAATACATAATTAAGTAATAAATAATTAATAATTAAGTAATAAATAATAAAAAGTAAATAATAAATAATTAGTAAGTAATAAATTATAAATAATTAATAACTAAATAATAAATAATAAATAATTAAGTAATAAATAATAAATAATGAACACAAATTTAACAAAGGCCGCTATAAAATAATTACAAAAAAGCGCATTCGGATCCATAATTATTTCTGTGCAATTGCCTATAGAATAATTTGAAACATGACTGTTATCTACTACCCAACAGGAGTTAGGCTAATATTAAAAGACCTCACAGCACAACATTCGCCCTTGATCAACATGTGTAAATAATTGAGCCAAAACACGTTACACGTGGCCTGAAGAATGTGTTCACGCATTGAAACAGACTATCGCCGCTTGGTGTTGACCTCAGTGTCTTGTTTTATATTAAGCATATTCACCCATGATTATTGCCTCCCTTAAAATTATATTTTCATCCTATATATATATATATATATATATATATATTTTTTTAAAATTATAACATAAATATGTTATAAAATCACTACAAAAATAGCCATTTTGTTTCAACTCTTCCGGTGTCTTATCAAGTGATGATGTTGAATGTAAAATAAATGGTTTTAAAAGTATGCATGTGTGTTCGCGCGCACGCGCTTGTGTGTTTATGTTATGCGTATCAATATACGTGTGTGTTTGTGATGACGTTCTTAGACGTCTCTAGCAGCAAAATCAAAGAGATTCAAAGAATAGAACAATGAAGACATTGAAAGAAAAGATGAATCTTTAGGTGAATGAAATTATAATCTGATCATAAATAAAAGAATAAAACAAAGCGTGAGGAAAGAAGTGGGCTTAACAGAAGACAGTGGGTATGTAATTCAATATGAAAAAAAAGTTGATATAAGAAATTCCTGCGGACATTGAGAAATGTGACTAAAAAAAGGGAAGAATCAAATGTTTAATAAGACAGAAATGGAAAATTGAAAAGGAAAGAAACAGGTTAGCGCCATGACCGACTGAATAAATGTTACGATTAAACATAAACAGAAAAAAAAATAATTAGTAAAATAGTAAGAAATATAACAATGAAAGTAAATGGAAAGAAATAATGAAAGAAAGGAATAAAGAAATATGGATTAACAATGAGAGCTAGAGATGGAGAAATAAATAAATAAAGAAATAAAGAAAGAAACAAAGAAAGAAACAAAGAAAGAAAGAAAGAAAGAAAAAAGAAAGAAACAAAGAAAAAAGAAAGAAAGAAAGGGCGTTGACACGAATTGGCTTTAGAATGAATAAAAAATATGAGAAAATGAAAATTCAAAAAGAAAGAAAGAAAGAAAGAAAAAAGAAAGAAACAAAGAAACAAAGAAAGAAAGAAAGGGCGTTGACACGAATTGGCTTTAGAATGAATAAAAAATATGACAAAATGAAAATTCAAAAAGAAAGAAAGAAAGAAAAAAAGAAAGAAAGAAAGAAAGAAAGAAAGAAAGAAAGAAAGAAAGAAAGAAAGAAAGGAAGAAAGGTCGTTGACAAGGATTGGCTTAAGAATGAATAAAAAATATGAGAAAATGAAAATTCAAAAAGTAAGAAAGAAAGAAAGAAAGAAAGAAAGAAAGAAAGAAAAAAAAGAAAGAAAAAAGAAAGAAAGAAAAGAAAAGAAAAGAAAGAAAGGAAGGGCGTTGACACGGATTGGCTTAAGAATGAATCTAAAGATATGACAAAATGTAAATTCAAAAAGAAAGAAAGAAAGAAAGAAAAAAAGAAAGAAAAGAAAAGAAGAAAGAAAATAACAAAGAAAAATGAATGTGTATAAAATTTGGTTTAAGGTTTAATGTAAAAATCTGATTGAATGCAAAATCTAAATGAAAGAAAGAAGACAATGAAAAAAAGAACGAAAGAGAGAAATAAAGAAAAGAAGAAACAAAGGAAGGAAAAAAAGAAAGAAAGTGGATATAAATTGTCCTGAATATCTGAATACGAGAGAATGAAAGAAAGAATGAAAAGAAAAGAACAAAAGTATAAAAATACTGATAGGAATAGGCTGTAAATGTAAATGAATTTGAAAAGGTAATTGGAAAAACAGCAACGGAAAATAAAAGAAAATATATGGAAAGAAAGGAAGTTCACGGATTAAGGATTTTGGTAAGAAAAGGGAAAAATATACTGAATACAAATCATTGATATAAAGACCAGAAAGAATTGAAGAAAGAAAGAAAGAAAGAAAGAAAGAAAGAAAGAAAGAAAGAAAGAAAGAAAGATGTTAAAACAAAGAATAAGGAATGAAAAATGAAATTAAGAAAACAGAATGAAAAAAGAAACAGTGAACGAAAATTGGAAAAACTAAAACAGCAAAAATGTAAAAAGAGTTAAAAACAAAACAAAGACAGAAAGAAAGAAAATTGAAGGAAATGTAGACTTTACAAAAAGTACGTGAATTCAAATTTAGAAATCAAGAAAGAAAAAATAAAGAAATGTATGAATGAACTTCAATAATGGAAGAGAACAAAAAAGCTTTTGAATAAAAGTTAGAAAAGACAAAATGGCATAAAAGCAGGTAAAAATAACAAATAAACTTAACAAAACAGAAAGATAAAACAATAGGGAAAAGAAAAACGAATCCGAATTTGGTTACTTTCATCCACAAGGAATATTGTCTGCTTCGTGCTGATTTCACTGGCTTAGCAATGAAAGCCGATGGTATCAGGTTGAAATACGTTACATGTAATGAAGATGAAATCCGGGTAGCAACAGACACGTAGCCTACTTCCGCTAGTGACAGCGAAACTGATGGAGACATTTTAAGAAAAAAATAAATAAAGACAAGTTGTAAATGATGAAATATAAACGGCATAGACCTCTGCTCAATTGGTATTAATTGAATTTTAGAAAGTGCAACCAACTAGTTTACAAATAATTGCTTAACATTCACGCTTGCAATTAGAAATTTTGCATACTGGATGAATGTTGCCATCTATTTACTATAAGTAAAAGAGGGTAAAACTTAACTTACACGCCATGTAAGCAGATAAAACGTCTGTTTTGGTGTTATAACTGGTGACCATGGATTACAGCTTAAAGCATCACTGGGTGTTTCTAGGGCATGATTCAGACAGATCCTTGCCTACTTCAGGCTAAATGGCCGAGTAAATGCTGATAATTTTTAAGCTAAAAATGTTTCTTGTATGAGGATGTTACCGTAAATTTCGTCGTACAAAGTTGGGTATTCAAGCCTTAAAAATATTTCTGAAACTAGAGATCGACTTATATGTCGGGTAGAGATTGCAAATAAGTGAGACAGTACTCCTAACACTTACTGTACACCGCGTACGATTACCTCCCTCACGCTACCACAAATATATCCCCAATAAAATTTGTGTTTAGTGAACATATTTTGTATATTAACACAGGAATTAATATGAAACAATAAAATAGGAAGAAACATTCAATATGCCATTAAAACTATAGAACATATCACAGCCAACAGCCAAAACTAAGTTTAAATACAGATCGAAGTGGTTATTCAGGCAACTAGAAATTATAGTAATGACACATTATATGTCATTATAGTAAAGACAGTGACACATAATATATATATCATTATAGTATTTTTACAGTTTAATGACACATAATATGTCATTATAATAATAACAGTTTAATGACACATAATATGTCATTATAGTAATGACAGTTTAATGACACAATATATATATATATGTCATTATAATATTGACAGTTTAATGACACATGATAAATATCATTATAATAATAACAGTTTAATGACACATAATGGCAGTTTATGAATATACCCTAAAAGCATAATTAATATGCTATTATGTTACCAACATTATTTTGAATATTACTTGAAAGAAATATGGCACTGATTATTAAAACCGTTACTGTAAGATATTCCATAATAATTAAAAACTTGCAGTAACCCATACATCGGGATTTTATACTTTTGAAACCGGAGCTTAATAATTCTTAAACACTATTATTTTATTCACATGGAAACCATGTATGATCACATTTTTCTTAGCACAAATACTGTTCAGCATCTATCGTTGTGAAGGGGTGGTCGACCTATACTGTAGGCATACACCTAACTCAGAATTTTGAGCTACAAATCTTTAGGTCAACTTGTACTCTAGGCTAATTTGTACGACGCAATTTACGGTATTTATAATCTGGAGAATCGTCGTTTTTCTCACAAAGTAATATTTTAGCAATTGAACTCACATTTTTTAATGATTTCCTGCCGTTTCATCAATGAACGATTCTACGATATAAAAACGTATTGAATCCTTAAAATGGCATGTAGCATGCAATATTGATTGTTATATTAACAAAGACAATCTTACCCTTGTCCTATGTCAGTCTACCTATCTCCACAAATATATACATTATATTATAGATATACGTTATATTATAGATATAATTTATTTAGGTAAATAATTAAATATTTTTATTATAAATGGAATACATATTACAATAATAGACGGAATTAATCCATTTCATAATATGTTATCATTGTTTAGGTTAAGATATATTTTGTGAGCAAATAAGAACGACCGAGAAAAATCCTTGAAAGTGTGCGCTTATAAATAAAAAAATCGGAATTAGTTAACCAGATTATTCTTTGTTACTGAATGGTTAAAAGCGCAGCAAATCAAACGATGGTTCCAACTAAGTGTTACAGATTTGATTCCTGTTTTGATTCCTGTAGAAGCAACGCATATTATCTATAAAGGACGGTAAATATCATTAATATTGTTTAATTAAAAATATAAATTATATCTATAAAAATAAATTATAAACGGAAAATATGCTAAGATAATTGTCGGAATAAATACATTTCATATATATATATATATATATATATATATATATATATATATAGTCTTAAGGTATGCTATTTTTATGGGATAAAGTGCTCAATATCAGAGATAGAGCATGTGTAAATATAAATAAAGACAACACTTAAAGCCTCTAAGTTTGACTTCTATATAACTCATATATATATATATATATATATATATATATATAGTTTATAAAAAAAAAACTAGGTAATCCGTATGGGTAAACCTAAGGAGGATAAAATCCAGATAGCTCAATGTAAATCCAGAGCAAATAATTTAAATAAAACAGACCACATTAAGGTTCCATGTAATAAATTATTTCACCACAGCCCTTTTAAAAGACTGCGGATCATCAGACTTTACTTCCAAGCAAAAAATGAAAAGAAAATTTACACATTTTTGACGGGCCGTATTAAACATATGTAAATTAACGAAGTGACGAAGTTAATGGGGAGAGAGAAGACATGAGTGAGTTAGCAGATATTGATACATTTAAACGGTTAACTTAACGGAAGTTATATATTGATATCGAAGGGTTAGAGAAGAAAAAACATACAGAGAAAAATAGAAAAGGAAGTTATGAGAGAAGATGTCACTAATTTTCTTTGTAAAAAAAGGCTAGAGACAGACGCTGTTATTTTATTTTACTTTGAAAGTGTTATTTTGGGGGTTCATAAAGATTATAATGTTTGATATAAACTTGAATGTCTCTAAACTGTCTACAAATAATTTAATTTGATGTTTGTTAGTGATTTAAATTTTTAGAAATTTTCTATGAAATAGTTGATTAGAAAAATATTTATAGAAAGTACATTAAAAGAATACAATTTTATTTTAAAATATAAGTTTACTTCTAGTAATCTTTTTTAATCTCTTTAAAATTTGTTATTATTGATTATTAAGTTGACATCTCTATCCCTTTTGAATTTTGTTCATGAATTTAACTCGTGACTGATTCTAGATAGGGAATCTCTTTTACTTAAATTTTAGTTAAGTTAATATGGGCTAATATTTGAAGGTAATATTAAAGATCTTGCTCTATCATATACTGTATACACACCCATACAAATCTCACATATACACGTTCCTTTACATGTTCAATCAATCATACGGGTACCCATGTGCTAATATACACAGGTAACTTCATGTATTAATACCTAACTAAATATCAACATTTTTCCAATTTAAATATTTTATCATCAATAATCATTATTAAAGGGTAATATATTTCAGTTTAAATTAAATTATCAATTTAAAAAATTTTCCTCCATATTATAAAGAATTTTCAACTCACACTTCCAATTAGAAAATATTAAATAAGAAAATGAAATAAAACACTAATAACAGGACTGTAAGTCCTTCTTTTATAATATTCTATGTATCCATAAATATACACATACACACATCCCGTACATACACACACATATACATATATATATATATATATATATATATATATATATATATATATATATATACATATATATACATATATATATATATATATATATATATATATATATATATATATATATATATATATATATATATTATATGATCAGCATATATATAATGGCTAATAGCCTAGCCAAAAAACCTCGAACTACAGCTCATTTTGACCCTTTTTACGTACTCTATGCCCAGAAATTGAATCACATGAAAAAAAATCAGAGAAAAATGTTAATAAATAGCTTAATCGCATCGCTTTCTTAGTCGTCTTGAATGAAACATTTATAAAAGAGGGATTGCACCTTTATTATATATATTTAAACCGCGCATTTTTCTGTATTTTTTTATTTACGAAAAGCATATTGTCTATGTCCGCCTGTCAATCCACACATACCAGTTTACCACCAACTGCGTGCCAAATTTTCGGACGGCTGACACGACAAAATGGACGATATACAGATGGAAATAAGATTGAAAAAACAAAATATCTTAGTTATTGTGCATAACAATCTTTATAAGAAAATAAACCATTAAAACAAAGACAAAATCCTGGCACAAAATGATATGAAACACGAGAGCAAATATTTATGCTAAATGCAACAACATAAAACTTTTCTGACAGTCCCTGTGAAAAAACGATTCTATATTTTGACATCTTATATATAAAAAAAGCTTTGATTTGTTTTCTTAATTTTGAAATCCTATGAAATTATATTTGATTGGTTTTCACACTTTGCAATTCAATTTTTTTACTATCATTCAGAAAATCCTGACAGTGAGCATTTTGAAATATTAAAAAATATGTAATTTCTTGCGTCTCAACTTGGTATATATGGATGATCGTTTACTCCTGTCTCAATAGTAGGTTTAATCAGTTCGATAAGGTCAAATTAGTAGCTGATCTGAAATAAAAGATGTATAGTCTGTTGTTAACTGGGGCAAGGAATGAGATTTTAACGCCTGAAAAATAAAATTTCTCCCTGTTAATCAACTGAGAGACTTATTCACTCCTTCGCCGATCAGCATGGCTAATGC